ATAACATTTAAAAGAGTCCCTTTTTTGGCACAACTCTATCCACAAATGAACATCTTCCAAACGGCGAATTTTTTTTTTTCTATTTTCTAAACGTTTAACTTTACGAGAGAAAAAACCATTTTACAAAGCTACAAAATAACTTCTAGTTATGTAATTTATGATAATACATTTAAAAATACATGACTGGCCCAAGGCTCTAAGAAGAAACCATCTATTTATCTAGGTTTTTTGGTCGAAAGTGTGTGTTGGTGAATGTGTGGTCCTTGAAGTAAAGAGTCCTCTTTTTCTTTTTTTTAAGTAACTGCTCTCTCGTAAGAGGGCGGAGGCGTCTCCTGTCTTGAGGTATGAACCCTGTAATACTCCGCGTTGGCCAAAGGGCAACGAAGAGCTTCTTCGTAGGGTGGCGGATCGTCCCTTCTAAACAGTATCCCCTGCACGTCGATGGTGTTGCAATGAGATGGGGAGGTGAGTCCGAATTGCGCCCTGCACGATGATATTCCCGCTCTACGAGGCGAAGGCGAGCGGCTGTAAGTGGGGGCTAACTGATAATGTATGGGCAATCTCCCTCTCTGGGGCCTTCTGGGATCCCCGATGACAGTCTCGTGCAGTTGCCTGTGGCATCTGGCGTGGGGTGCTCCTCTGGGGAGGAACCTGTTGGTGACCGCCATCAGGTGCCGATGCGCCAACTCTCTAGCGATTTCACTGTTGGAGGAAGAATCTTCCAGAGATCTCCTGCGCGACCTGAGCAACGCCATTAACATGCAGGACAAGACGATAACCAAGAACAGGATGAAAGCCGCTAGGAATATTCTCCGGGTGGCATCAATGTCTTTCAGGTAAACTACAATCGGGATTCCTACCGGCAACAAGAGTAGAAGACATCGGAGGAGGTTCTTATTCAGTCCGCTGCTTGTCTTATCTGAGAGATCATCGGCGCTTTCACCCAGAGGTGATTGTCCATCCGTAGGCAAAAGTTCCCCTTCCGTCTGGTGGGAACTCTCCATATTCCACTCATCCCGGACTCGTCGATGGTTTCAACACCCTAGAAATAAAGAATACTATCTGAGTAATATTTCAGCAAACCATTGGAGCATTTAGAATCCGAATGGTTTAATAATTCAGAAGAGATTCGATACGTTCACGCTCGACAGAATTTTGAATCTTCAGTTAAGAGGAGCGACTCCCTTGATGGGAAATACTGCTTAATATTAATTTATTCTGGCATCTGTGAAACTGGGGTTTATTACCATCGCTTTATTTCAACATTAAAACTAAGCTAGGAAATGGAAGATATTTCTTAAAAATATTTCTCCGCTACGCGAACAGCATCTTTACGCCATGGCGCTTCATACACGGGTTGCGCGGTTTCCAGGGATCAAACAATTGCAAGACAAGCTTAATGGTGAAAAAAAACATTTCTAGAGCGTCGTTACCGACTCATATCAATGTTATTTCTCTTCTAAATCTAATTACTCGTCTACCGGAATACTAATTCGGCATCATTCTTTATCTCCATTCATTTTTATCACGGCCAAACGAATCACAATTTCGCATCGTCCGCAACCGAAACACTAACCTTATTAATACTTCAATTAACATAATTATTTTATAAATTACAACAGAAACATTTTAAACTATTATACATCGAGATGGAATTATTTATCAAATTAATTCTAAGTAATAAATTTATAAGCGATTTCAGAATCTGACAAGGGATATTAAGTATTCTGTCATCTGGCTGCAAAATGCTCAGCAAATCACTAAATTAAGGCAGAGTAGACACCATTAACTAAATTATTGCTTTAGCATGACATCATCGCCGATGTGGCCATATTTCCAATAAAAAGAATTTATCTCGTACTTTATCAAATTAAGGACGCTTCAGACCTCCTCCTAATGAATATTTTTTAACCTTTACAACGTTATTTTTTGCCCTTTAAAATTAAAACAACCTCTTCTCCGGCTATTTTCGTTATCTTCCTTATCTGCCCGATTATCTGCATCTCTTATTTTTTTTTTTGCCAGACATTAATGTTGTTATACGCTAATTGTCTGCATCGCAAATTAGCTAATCTTTGCAAAGAGACCCACCTCTTGGCCGCTACTAAATTTCGGGATCCGGTGAGGATTTTGATAAAATATGCAACTGGTCCGATTATCCAGATGAGAATTATTGAGTAATAAATTTTGCAGAAACTACCTCCTTCCGAGATTTTAATCAGGAGCTCTTCCAAAGATAAATGTCCATACATACGTAAGAGGATTCTACTTATCGCCGACTGAATAATTTGGCGAAAGAGGCAAAATCTTTCTTCCTTATATTTTCATTGCTACTGCCATTTTGTTGCATTGTAATCTATATCTCAATTCTATTAATTACGGTTTCGTTCGAACGGTTTGTAAGATTTTTTTCGATGAAATGTTTTAAATAACGTCACACTGCGTACTCACGGACCAACGAGCGATACGGGAGGTCCAAATTCGACAATGGAACAACGAGAATCCTTAAACGTTATCGAGGTTGTGAGGCAGTCTAAATGGAAATCCATGAAATAATTTCAAAGATAAATTCGTATCACGAGCACATTAGGCCAATGATTCACTACTCGACAATAAAGCATCAAGTGAAACTCCATTGACGTTATCGAAGATAGTTCTCGAGGTAGCTTCGTCTACCTAATGGCTACACACACAATAGCCTGTCTAAGTCCTTTTATCGCATTCACCCGATATATATATATATATATATATTTCAAATTTCATTCATCAGCAAAGTCATAAATAAATTATTAACTTAAACTACATCTTTAACCCGTCGGCACGTGCCTAGTGTCGATTATGCACTAATCGGTTTTTAATTAGTTAATGTAAAAATTCTAATTTTCTAATTGTTTGAAAAATCTGAGAAAATTATTACCTGTCTAATTTTTCTCCAATTTTACGATGCACAATTCAATTTATGCTTAAAGTGTTTTATTATTTTTATTTAATTACAGGCAGATAGGCCAAGCATTGCTCGGGCAAAAAGTAACTATGGCGAAGATTAAGGTTATTATATTATAGCCAATCTTACTCGTTTTCACAGAATGCAAGAATTAGGTCCCCCTGTTTTCAGATTAATTAGTAAATTTTTATATGAGTTAAAAAAATGTTCGATTTCATGCAAAAACGAAAAAAAAAACTTCGTCTGCGTCTGTAAATCTTGCATATCGCTTTCTCTTAACACTTCCATTGTTGACACTTTTCCGGGGGGAAGTGTTAACAACCTCACCCCCGCTGNATTTTTATTATTACATATAAATAAAAATAGTAAAAAAGTATATAATTTTTTATTTAGTTTTTGGGGTCTCCGGAAAGAATTAATCAAATTCCCATAAAAATCTATGCTAAATCGATAGTAGTTACTTAACGAACAATACTGGTAGCGAACACTGTCTTGGAACAGATTATGTCTGTTAATTAACCGATTATTCACTGTACTGTACTTCGTAGCGAAAACTGAATCTATATATATATATATTTGAGATGGGTTGATGCGCTTATTATTAGTATTGTTATTATTATTAATAAGCGCAGAGCCTAAACGATTAGGAGTTGAAAGTTGAAATTTGGCAGACAGTTAGAGTACGTCACGAGAACGCACACTAAGAAGAGATTTTTCGAAATTTCCCCCAAGGGGAGAGGGAGGATTAAGTCCTACCCTGAAGAACTCGCCTTCTATTGTACTATTTTAGATGCGTTTTTTTGCGTTATTGACTGAGTTTTAGTAGGCTACAGCATTTAGTCGCGTACCACGTGGGATGAAAGAAGTGTATTCCTTAACAATGGAAGTATTGCCAATGGAAGTGCTGAGTAACAATGGAAGTGTTAAGAGAAAGTGGCGAGCAAGATTTACAGGCTCAGATGCGATTTTTTGCGTTTTTGCAGAAAATCGAACATATTTTTTAAATCCATCTTAAAATTTTTTAATTAGTCTGGAAACAGGAAGACATAATTCTTATATTCTGTGAAAACGGGTAAGATTGACTGTAATGTAATAATTTTAATCTTCGCTATCGTTACTTTTTGCCCGAGCAACGCCGGGCTTATCTGCTTGTATAGTATAAGATAACATAACTTAAAACTTTTCCATGAAGCAATGTTATTGTTTTGACGTTCAGTTTTGTTTTGGCAGTTCCTCTTATCAATAAATTCATTTATTGGAGTGCAATTTCCCAAAATTCTACATATAAATTTTCCCACTGTGAGCTGTCTGTCCATATGCTTGTTTCTCTTTAATTTCAAGATATTCATGAGATGAAAGAAAAGGGAAAACATATTTGGAAACGCTATGTCCCTCCGGTTTATTTGAAATTAAAATTTTCTGAATTAAAATAGATACACGACAGGCACGACTATGGTACTAACATGAAAGGTAGAACAAGCCACTACTAATTCGAGATGAACAGCACATATTTTAAATAAATTAAAAATATGATTAAAAATCATCATACATTTCCGTATACACAGTATTTCTAAATAAATCATCTATTTTTATATTTTGTTATTATTTGGTTATAGTTGTAGTGTACTTTTCTGTTGAGGTTTTTGCTAATTGGCGATAGATATCATCTGCAAACTAATAATTTTTAATTTTCTATAAATTAAATTTTCTCTAGAAAAACCTTTCTTACAGTGTTTGCAAGGGTTCAGCATATTATCTAAAGATTTTGCTCCAAATGTTATACCAACTGTAGATCTCTGTTCTTGAAAATTACTGCTGACTGATGAAGTTGCTAGCACAGAAATCTAAAATTTATATGATGAGTTTCATTTCTGTAAAAAAATCAAGGATAAAATAGTTATTGTATCGAATTGCTGTGAAGTATTATTTTGTTAATTGTCTACTTGGACATTATTTATTATTAGGACTTAATACTGGTGTTTTAAGATTGACACAGCAATGAGAGTTAGTTCAGGAAAGAGCAAAATTTCTTTATTATATCACCTGTAGTAATAGTTTCTGTACACATATTACACGTGTTTCGGGCTAGCATGCCCCTCATCAGCAGTACTGCTACCACACACTAAAAAGTAACAATAATAAAACAAAATAAGTGATTGTATAAGTTAAAATTTTTTACATAGCCATAAGAATAATGTTAAAAACTTACTGTAAATACATATTTTAAACCCGAGTATAAATGTATTTGGAATATGTATTTATAGTAAGTTTTTAACATTATTCTTATGGCTATGTAAAAAATTTTAACTTTTACAATTACTTATTTTGTTTTATTATTGTTACTTTTTAGTGTGTGGTAGTAGTACTGCTGATGAGGGCATGCTAGCCCGAAACACGTGTAATATGTGTACAGAAACTATTACTACAGGTGATATAATAAAGAAATTTTGCTCTTTCCTGAACTAACTCTCATTGCTGTGTCAATCTTAAAACACCAGTATTAAGTCCTAATAATAAATAATGTCCAAGTAGACAATTAACAAAATAATATTAGAATTTAAAAGGACAGTAAGGCTTTTACAATTGCTGTGAAGTATGCTTAGATCCAATTCCCGATATCATTAAGAGTTTTGGAAATTAATACTCTAGAAGATAGGTTACTTTTTTGCATAAGTTTCGGACAATAGTCTATTGTGCTTAAATACGTTTAACCACAATGGACTATTGTGCGAAGCTTATGCCAAAAAGAAGTACTCCGAAAAAAAATATTTATTCTCTATCAGTATCAATAACTACAGAAAGTTTTTACTTATTAACATTTTCTAGAACACGAAAATAATATAATAGGAATTACCTTGTTAACAATTGCTGAAGTAATATGCTTTGAGCGCACCCAACATGCCCCTTTATTAACGGTTCGCCGAAGAAGCTGAAATACTAAAATATTTTATATATTACATAAATATGAATTTAAAAAGTCTTCACAATGTATTTCGATTGGTCCACTGATTTCTTATAACAGCTGGAATTCACCTTCCATCCTTGCTTTTAGTCATAGTTCAACATGCTAATTTCCATCTAGGGGTTGTAGCCCATTGAGGTAACTCGCCTCATTTGAATATATGTATTTCTCTGAAAAAAAAAATGAAGCAAAGATAAAGGTTCTCAGACTCCCTCTCAGGTAAATATAAGAATAATGGATTTC